TGTGTTGTGTATATATGTATGTGTATGTAAAATGCTGTGTGTGTGTGTGTTGTGTATATATGTATGTGTATGTAAAATGCTGTGTGTGTGTGTGTGTGTGTGTGTGTGTGAAATGATGTGTGCATTTAGCTTTACAAGCACAACCACTTCCCTGCTGCACGCAGTTTTGTTAGCACACAGTGCTGAGAGCAGAGTCACACCATCTCACTGCTGTCTGCACCATCCACAGTTTGGCGGAGCCTGCAGGGTGCTGGGCTCTTTGCAAGAACCCACTGTGGTTAAGGTTCAGACTTGCTGCTTTTCCTCTCGTGCCCGGCGGGATCTCAGACTGGAGCTCAACGCTGCATGTGTGTCCCTGCATTGTACTGAGTATCTCACATGTGCTGTCACTGAGGGAGTCAGCTAGCACCGCGAACCCAACAGATGCAATCTGGGTCTCAGTTTCCTCATGGGAGGAGCGCTCGCCCCGCCCTCGGCCGGCCCCAGGAACCAGCCCAGCCCAGCCCAGCTCCAATCGCCCAGGACCTGCTGCTTCCCTGGGCTTCTGTCTGCTACCCTGGTTCTTAGCACCGAGGACGCTCCGCCCTCTGAATGAAAGCAGGCAGCGGCTGGCAGGTTGGTTGCCCAGTACCCGCAGAACCCCAAGTGCGAGCATCGGAACGGGACGCGGGTTCGCACTGCAGAACCCACCAAGGTCCTAGGCCCCTTGCCCTTCCCGAGCGGTGCCATGGTCCCGAAACTGTCACTGCACCTCTGCCCTCAGCTCTGATCGCATCCTGTGTCACCCGCTGAAGGAAAGGGAGTCGGGAGGGCAAGGGGCCACAGGCAGGCGGCCCGACAGCATGCCCGGAATGTGAGCGGTAGGTGCGCCTTGGGATCCCAATCTGGGCACTGTCACCGAGAAGTTCCGGGGGAAGTGGGTGTGGCCCAAGTGTGCCCCCAAAGACCAGAAGGAGGCTGGCACACCGCTACTCAGAGCATAGAGATTCCCCTTACTGGGAGCGGTGGAGATGGGACCAAAGGAGGTGGTGGTGGGAAAGAGGAGAAAGAGACCC